TTGCAGCTGGTGCTTGTCATTGATTTTTAAATGATTTTTGAACACACCCAGGGGTCAGATAGACCCCACGGTGCAGAATAAGGGTTAATATTAATTTTATTTAATACAAGCTGTTATTATTTTTTTGCTATAAATATTGTTAATAGTTATGTTTATCAATACAAACACAATGGCAAATGTCAAACACATGGTTCACACCATTATATTTATAACGTATATTTGGCTCTACTATTGGGTTACCGATGCGCTCACACCCAACCCATTGTCGCACTCGTTGACCAACCCATTGGTTAAATGTGTTGTTGTATTCATGCAAATCCTGTCCGTAATAGCGTTACCGCAATATATTTTCCAATTTCTGGGTCTAATTGTGTACAACCCGTTCACCGACAATGATGTGCCCCTAAAGTGCGACCCCCTGTCCGCCCCTTTTATATGCTTCCGAGTGGTCACACGTGGAAAGTACAGGCGTTTAGTCGCCGATAATGTCAAAAGGCATGTGAATGTCTGCTCAACCGTTGGTCTCAAGCATTTTATGATAGAAGTGGTAACCGATAACCCCTTAGATTTGGACACAACTAACTCGAGAGTGCGTGAAATTGTTGTGCCGGTTGGATATCAGCCTAAAAATGGGGCCATGTTTAAAGTAATTCATGATAGCAACTAATTAAATTATAAAACATTTATTAACCCATAATCTCCGTAAGGCTCGGGCTCTACAGTACCGGTTGGACACCAATGATTTGGCGGACGACGAGTGGATCGTACACTTGGATGAGGAGACAGTGATGACAGAGCAGTCCGTTAGGGGTGTCGTTAACTTTGTGTCCGACGGCCGACACGACTTCGGTCAGGGGCTCATCACTTACGCCGACCAACAGGTGGTCAACCCGTGGACTACACTTCTGGACACTCAGAGAGTGGCCGACGATATGGGAAAAGTGCGCTTTCAGTTCGAGTACTTTAATGACGCGCCGTTTAGTTGGAAAGGTATGTCTATTTATAATTGCAAAATTACTTTCCCGGAATTGTCACTATTGGTTTAATAACATCTTGTTTTATTTATGCCTACCTGTTATTATGGTTGTATCTAAACAAATAAACCAGGTTCATTCATGGTGTGTCGTGTAAAAGCTGAACTGCTGGTATCCTTTGACCACGGATTGGAGGGCTCGATAGCCGAAGACATGTATTTCTCAATGAGAGCACTGATGGGTCGGCACACGTTTGGCTGGATTGAGGGCCCGATGTGGGAAAAGTCACCTTTCACACTTTGGGACTACATTGAACAACGCAAACGTTGGATGCAAGGCATTTGGTTGGTTGTACACTCGTTTAATATACCATGGTCAATCAAACTGTGGCGCGCATTATCACTGTACGGCTATATGACCATGGCACTTCACGCCCTGTTGACTGTTTATATATATTTTATGCCCCAATACTCAATCCAATGGATATCTGTATTGCAAATATTTATCAGTGCTGTCGGCAATTATATGTTTATTTT